AGAGGATAATTAGGACTGCAGAAAAAACAATTACTACCTGCCTTCAATCGAGGACCTGTATACTGCACAAGTCAAAAAGAGGGCTGTGATAATATTTACAGACCCCTCATATCCCAGATATAAACTGTTTCAACTCCTACCCTCAAAACGATGCTAGAGCACTGCACATCAGAACTAGACACAATAACAGTTTTCCCCAAAAGCCATCACTCTGCTAAACAAATAATTCTCTCAACACTGTTCAACTATTTACAAAGTCTGCACTATTACTATTAATCTTCTAATCACTCCTTATCACCCACCCCCTCCCACTTGTGACTATATGACTGTAAGTTTGTCACTTGTATCCTTAGAATTTATATTGACCTTTTCCTAGTATGATGATTGCTTATTGTACGCTATATTATTATTAAGTGTTGTACCTTATGATTCTTGACTCTTGACAAATGTATCTTTTCTTTTATGTATACTGAGCATTTGCACCAAGACAAATTCCTTGTGTGTCCAATCATACTTGGCCAATAAAGAATTCTATTCTATTCTATTTCAAAACAAGCAAGTAAATAATATTAAGGTAGCCTTGTCTCACTTACAGGTAGTTCTCCACTTATGACAATAGAGCCCCAAATTCTGTTGCTAATCAAGGCAGCTGTCGAGTGAGTTGTGCCTCATTTTACAATGTTTTTTGCCACAGTTGTTAAATGAATCATTGTAGTTAAGTGAATCATGTACTCATTAAATGAATCTGTTTTCCCCCATTGACTTTGCTTGTTGAAAGCTGGCTGGGAAGGTTAAAAATGGTAATCACATGAGTCTGGGACAATGCAAGTGTCATAAGTACATGCCAGTTGCCAAGCACCCAAGCTATGATCACGTGACTATAAGGATACTGCAATTTTTTTTCAGAGCTGTTGTAACTTTGAATGGTCACTAAATAAATGGTTATAAGTTGATGACTACCTGTATTCTAAATATCAGTAAATCTAGCAAAAAAGAAAGAGTCTCTTGTAATACCAAAATGCCATGCCTTTGAATAAAAGCAAACAACAAAACAGTTATAGTTTTTCAGTGTGTACAATAATTCTATTTTTGTAATTATACAAATGATAAGTTAGTAAAGTCAAATCTCTATAAAATCTTGGAAATAATCCTCTTTTTCTCATTACTCAATATTAGTTACATTTTAAGATGTAACATGTAGGCAATATATGAACAATAATCTTAATTCCTATCTAAATCACAGTTTGGGATGTTCTTTCTAAGAAATATTATTTAGCTTATTAGCTCTTATCTGCAAATTACTATATTTTCACTATACGGCTATCTTAAAAACAAAAATGTTCCTTTTAATGATTATAGAGAATACTATTGGTATATAATATAGTGACACTAATATAAATGGATTATACAAGGTTTCCAAATATTCATATCTTAGTAACACCTGGAATTAAACTTGATCCATAGTAATTATATGGCAATGTTCTTCAAACTTGAAAATGTTTAAGATGTGTGTGGACTTCAGTTCCCAGAATTCTCCACCAAGCAGGTCTACATGCTTAAGTTGTTACATAGCATGGTTGTGTTTTAATTAACCATATACAGGTAGTCTTAGAGCCATTTATTTAGTGACCATTCAAAGATACAAAAGCACTGAAAAAAGTAACTCATGAACCATTTTTCACACTTACAACTGTTGCAGCATCCTCATGGTGGTGTGATCAAAGTTCAGACACTTGGCAACTGGCATGTATTTATAGTGGTTGCATGTATTTATAGTGGTTGGGCTCTTGGATCACCCTTTGCAAACTTCTGAAAAGCCAAGTCAATGGGGAAGCCAGATTTACTTAACCTAGGCCTATCAAACTGGCAGCCCACGGGCCGTATAGGGCCCAGGCAGGCCATGCCCAACCTGCTTCACGAAGGCAAAAAACTTCAGATATGTCACAATCTGGCATGTGATACGATTGAGTTTGACACCCCTGACTTAACCATTTCACTAACTTAACTGCTGTGATTCATTTTAGAACTATGGCGACAAAGGTTGTAAACTGGGGAAACTGTCTTGCTTAGCAAAGAATAGAATAGAATACTTTATTGGCCAAGTGTGATTGGACACACAAGGAATTTGTCTTGGTGTAAATACTCTCAGTATACATAAAGAAAAGGTACATTCGTTAAGAATCAAGAATCATAACGTACAACACTTAATGATAGTCGTAGGGTATAATCAACAACCAAATCATACTAGGAAACAGTCAATATAAATCGTAAGGATACAAGCAACAATGTTACAGTCCTACAATCACAAGTGGGAGGGGATGGGTGATAAGAAGTGATGAGAAGATTAACAGTAATAATAGTGTACACTTTGTAAATAGTTGAACAGTGTTGAGGGAATTATTTGTTTAGTAGAGTTATGGCTTTCGGGGAAAAACTGTTCTTGTGTCTAGTTGTTCTGGTGTACAGTGCTCTATAGCGTCATTTTGAGGGAAAATGTTGGGTTCCATTGTGGTCATACATTGAGGACTATCTTTAAAGCATTTTGCCTTTGTTTTATTCTGATAAGTTCCACCCCTCAAGTTATTACAATAGTTGAGCCTACAATCCTAAAATTTCCTAATGAACTCCCATTCAAGTATTCACTAAATCCAACTTTACTTAGCTTTTTCAAGATCAAAATTGGTACTATGGCTTCTATGTATAATACAAAGCAAAATTAACCAAACAGCATAACAAATTCCATGAAACTAAAATAAACTACCAATAAATATCTTATTTAGCAATAGAGGCTGGATATTTGTTTGGAAGTATAGATATATATATAGAATTTTTGAGAGAAATCCCTGGAGCATAGTCTAAAGCTATAAAGAGTTATCACACTGTTATAGTTGGATGACTATTATATTTAAAAGGATATTTCCCTACGTATCTATACTTGCATATATAGAATCTAACTAAACAGATTTGCAGAAACTAAAGTCTGGCAGATTTTAGCTAACTCGGTTTAGTATCCTAACTATAAATGTGTTCCTTGGAAGTTGGAATTGTTCTAATGTGCAAGCAATTTTTTAAGTTTTCCCAGTCTTTTGACATATTTTACCTATGTATATCACTTTTATCCTGTCTTGCAGGGGTTTATTTTCCTCTGCAAATTGATTTTTACTCCATTTTAGAATAGTACCATTTAATGCTGTTTTAACTTTCTGCCTTTATAATTTGTATTCATTATAAGATTTTCTGAATTATTTCTAGATTTTATTTTATCTTTGTATTTTATAACCCTCACGTGAAACATGTTGTTCTTCAGTTAATCAATTATTTAATAATTTATTTCATATCTCAAAGCCTAGAATACTTTTCACAAGCTATATTTTTATGAATAAAACTAGATACACAGACTAGATACATGAGAATAGAAAAACTACTTAGCCACAATAAGCATCAAGCATTTGAGAACTGAGCAGGTCTGCATTTCTGCTATTAATAAACAATATTTTCAGAGTTTTCTGAAAAACTCTTAATGTTGTGCAGGTTTATGTGACATGCCAAGTAGTAAATGATTAACAAGATCACCATATTAAGTCTGCCCAATTGCCTTTAATATTACTATTGTTGGTTACATAAGCTTTGTGTCAAGTCCACTTGGAAACCTGACACTTTTTACACAAACCTGGAACAGCAACCAGTCGCTATCAGTACCAAGCAGAATTTGAAATCTTAATTTCTTAACAGAAATATACACTAAGTTATATTGTGTAAATTGTGTTAGAAGGTTTTATTTAAAGTGAGTGACTTACATGTACAGGTAGTCCTCAATTTACAATAATTCATTTAGTGACCATTCAAAGTTACAACAGCATTGAAAAAAGTGATTTATGACCGCTTTTCACACAACCGTTGTAAGCATCCTTATGACATGATCAAAATTCAGCTGCTTGGCAACGGATTAGTATTGATGACAGTTGCAGTGTCCCAGGGCTATGTGATCACCTTTTGTGACCTTTTTACAAGCAGAGTCAATGGGGAAGCTAGGTTCACTCAACTGTGTTACTTAATAACTGCATTTTTCACTTAACTGTGGCAAGAAAAGTCATAAAATGGAGCAAAATTGATTTAACAAATGTTTCACTTAGTAACATAAATGTTGGGCTCAACAACAACTACACCTGTATAAAAGTCAGGTAATTTTCATTCTTATGCCTTCTTTTCACCTACAATTAAAATTGCCCAACTTCCCCCCATCAGAGAAGAATCTTGCAAATCCGGTTTGTGGACAGAGTAAGGAGCTGCCCCATTTGCAACTCTTTGAAGAGCCTTCTCCTCACCTACTCATTTCAACACACACTTGATAGGGAAGTAGTAGTACTTCAAGCAGGCTTGCAGTAGTAGAACTCCAATCTTCACGCACTCCTATATTTTAAGTAAATTAAAGATACATAATGAGGCATAAAGCCAGAATTGCAGCAAACTCCTACAATTTGAATATGATAATATGCCAAAAGATTTTGGCGTTCACAAACAATCTAGTACTCCTCAGGTGGGGCGGACCGCAACTTCTCTTAATTCCTAGACCTTTGATCACACACTGGAAATCACATAAACTTCTTCCCTCCCTTTCTTAACCCACCCTCCATTCACCTCCTCTTCCACCTCCTTTCTTGTTCCAAGGGTCCTTCTCACTCGCGAGGAGAACCAACCACCCGCAACAACTCCCGCGGATATTGCTAACTCATCCCACACTTCCTCCTCCTCCTCCAGGTCGGTGCCCAAACCTGAACTTAAGCTGTCGAGGTTGATCACATGGGACGGCAGAAGAAGGGCAGGGCAGAGCTAGGAAGGTTCCGCGGCTGCCTCTTTCCATTGGCTCCGCGCAGGCACGTGGCGCTCCTCTTCCCACCGCTGGCTCACAGCTGGGTAGCCCCACTCTGCTGGCAGGGAAAGAGCAATAAGAAGCCGCTCCCGCTAAAGTGCCTTAAGAGGAGCGTTGAAGAAGAGGAGGAGGAGGAGGAAGAAGAAGGCGGCGGCAAAGAGTTTTTTTTCCCCTGCTCATGGGTCTGACTGATTAATTACTGTTTGTTTTGTGGGCGAGCCCCTCGTGTGCTGGTCTCGTCGTTTCCCTTGGAACCATAGAAGGCAAGAGTCCGGAGCTGCGGAACGGGGCGTTGGGAAGGTAGGTCTCGCTGAAGGTAGTTTCGACATACGGCGGTTTCTCTTCCCCCGCTGGTGGAGCCTTTCTGTTCTTTTCCCGCGCAACTCGCACCCAAGTTGGGAGCTGGTGCCGAAAGAACCGGGCTAGGTTCGCCGAGGCGGGGAACTGCGAGCATTAGGTGGGCGAGACGTGCCCGCGTCTCCTTCGGCGACTTTTCCGTTCGCTTCTCCGGGGCCGGTTCTCTCGTGGAGCGAGTGAAGAGAGCGCGGGTTTTGGAGTAAGACCGACCGTGGGCTGTCGACGCGCGGAGAAAAGGGAGGGGAGTGTCTTGCGTCTGAAGCCTGGCGCGAAAGCTCGTCCCGTCGCCTCCTGAGAAGGAGAGACCTGCACGGGATGATACTCTGGAGGAGGGAGAGATCTAATCGTTTTCCCGGGTTTGCTTTATTATACTGGTGCATAAAGACATTCATACACGCATCTGTGCTGCATCGGAATCTCAATACATTTTGCGTTGGGGGAGAAAAAAAACAAAGTTCACCGGGCATGGCACACATTCATTAAATAGCTTTCAAATGGCCGGAGAGATGTTCGGTTCGGTACTGCGTAAAATATGAGTTGCACGGCGATGGAGGAGGAGAAGGTAAAACAAAAACAAACAAAAAAAACCCTCCAGGACTGAAGCTTGAATCGCCTCCATTTTACTAAGCGCTCGGGGCAAACTCAGCGGAGGCTGCCTTCGGAAAGACTAAACAGCGAGCGGCTTCATCGCCGGATTGGAAAACGGGGCAGCTCATGCCCTGGACGCGCCTCTTGGCGCTTCGCCTCTTCTCCTTCCCTTCCGACTTCTTCGTTTATTGCAGAGCGCTGCTGAATTGAACAGTTTGGCCACGCGAGCTTCATTCAGTTTAATGGGAGAAGTTGCACTCCTTTCTGTCTTGTCCGCATTGTTTCTGTCCCCTGGCTCTCTCTTTCGTCCTTCTCCAAAAATCTATTAGCCAGTTTGCCTGATGCTGGACTTGTGGGGTTTAAAAGCCTGTATAGTGGGAAATGGTCCAAGCGTTCTTATGCAGTCCAGAAATGGATGCTCCTTGCACCCACTCGCTCCTCTAGTGGCTATATTTTTCATTCTTGTAATGTTTTATTTTAAGCCCGAGATCAAAACACACTTAACTTGATGGAAGCAGTAGAATTTGTTTTGAAATAATAATCAAGATGGGGTAGAAATCCATCAGTAATTCTAGTACTCCAAAGCCTATGCTTCAATTCTTCTAATGACTGCAGTTGTAATTAGTGCTAGCAGATACATCCTAATGTGTTAACTATAAATGTCCATTTTTTAAATATATCCCATCATGGCACAGTTAACAGTCAAGAGTAATTTGGCCATAGATTGCACTTAAATATTTTTTCAAAGATTTAAAAAAAGCATATACATTGAAAAGCAGAAAAGCTCTGGTAGCTTTTCTATCAAAACAGAATTTATCATCATGAATCTCTCAGTCTTAAGTTTTCAGTTTTTTTACAATTTAATTCTTTTACTTCCCTCAGTAACAGGTTGCTATTATTTTATAATTTTTTATTCAAATATATATTTCTTAAAATTTTCCCAAGAATTCTAGTTGAAGTGCGAGAATAATCCTGAGAATATTTCCTGACATATAGTTTCTTTGCTTTAGTATGAAGATTGGATCTCCCTAAAATTGTGTGTGTGTGTGTGTATCTGTTTTTCTTATCAAAGCCTAGTCAGCAACTATAAAAGTAATTTATTTTAATAATATTAAATATATATTTAGATAGAACTTTAGAATATTTAAGCTCTATCAACATACAAGAGTTGCAATGAGTATCTTGAAGTTAATAGTAAAAATCATACCCAATGATTTCGATCCATCAATAAAAGGATAACAGATTAAAGTCTTGAACTTTTTAATGATTTTTTTTTCTTGTCTGACAAGTTTCAGATCTATTGCCTGTGGATTCTTGAAAATAATTTCAGCAACTGATTGCCATTTGATGTAATTACCAATTGCTATCATTTTCCCCTAATTTTCTGTGTATTGTTTTCTATTGCTTAAACAGGCAAATCAGTTTTGTACCCCTAATCTATTCCACCCTTATGGTTGTATTTCATATTTCTTAAGTCAGCATCTTAGCTGGGAAACCTTTAAAAAAGGCTGTTATTTTTTTAAAAATTTACAAGTTTCTTAAGAAAAAAAAACAAGTACACATTTTAGGAAGGTAGCCTCTAAAAGATCAAAAAAAGTTCCAGTTAAAGTACAGGAAAAGGCCTCTTTTCAATGCATTCAATTGTTAATACAGTTGGAATTTAGCCTAAACTGTGCAAACCTTTTGCAGGAAAACTTTGTATTTTCCTATTCTCAGGCAATGTTTATTTTAATACAAAAAAGAACCAATAGTTGGTGGAAAGTCTATGGCCTATATTTCTACATCAATATTATTTAGTAATTTTAGGAGCCCTAAAGGTTCTATGAATATCTCATGATGTAAACTTTGTGAGTTGCATCCAGTTAGTATTGTATCAGTAGGTGCAGGAACAATTTACTATCCAAACCCTGCTGGGAAATCATCCAGAGCACATCTGGGAAATAAAGGAAGGGAAAAGTCCTCTGCACGGGCAGACATCTGTTCAATATGGTTAGATTTTAGTCTGTATTTGGTTCTTCAGATAAAATAGTTCTAGTGGAATGTGACTATTGATTTTTCATGTGGTTGAGAAACATTTGAACGTTTAAAATATAAGTGAATACCTAGAAGGCTGTATGCATAAGGTATAGTTGACATTTTTAAAGTGATTTGAATAATGGTGCATTTTCCTTGATCAGACCTTGTGTTGAGTGCTGTGAGTTTATTCTAGATAATGGCTGTTCTAGCACAAAAGTTGCATCAGACTCTTTCTGTTGTGTTTTGTTTATCCTCCATTCAAACCAATCCTAACATTGTTGGAAATGTTTTATTGTTGCTTTTATAAATTTTTTTTTAAAAAAAGTTTATTTGTTTGCATTTCAGTTAATCTGCCTTCTGAAACTAGCCATTTGACAGTATTCTTACAGTTTAGTATTATAACTATGCCATGTTCCATATTCAATTCCAAAAATATGCTTTGGAGTGTATGATAATGTGAAACCAATACTTGTCATAATTATTTTTAAAATAATTACATAACAAGTTTGAAGCAATGCATAGGCCTCTGAAGTCCCATAAGCTGAGCTAACCAAATCAGCACTATAAAATCATCTGCCAAATTATAGGTGCACTGTACTGTATTTGTTACAGACAATTAATAAGCAACTCTTAAACACACTCACACACACACTTTAGAACCATCCTAGGGCAAGAACAATAGAAGCACTGTTGAGAGGTAGTGAAAGAGAAGAATAACATGCACACCTTTTAAAATATATTTTGTTGTATCCTCCTGGCATGTTCTCCTTTGTAGTTAGAAAGTCCTAGAGTTTTATACAATTCTAATTCTTGAGCATTTCAAGGGTAGGAGCAGACAGGAGGTCCTAGACAGCAATAGCTTCTTCCATTTTAGGTTGTTCCTGGAATGAATTTAGAACAGCCCCCTTTCCCCCTCCTTCCCTTCCTCCATTTCTATCTTTCTGTATGTGTGTGAAATATAGTATCATACCTACTATGTTTCTGGACTGATCAATTTTCCTTTTGAAGTGTTAGATTTGGGAACTGTTTTGTTGCTTGGAAGGAATTATTTGTATGGCGTAGTCTTGTAATGGTTTTTGTGTTAATACATCTCAAAGCAGTTTACAATATATCAGCCACAACTATAAAAACAAATTGTTTGCCCCTGGAATTTTATGTTGTCAGTCTGGATTAGTATGTTGTGTAAACTCAGTCAGAAACCTTATATCAAGTTGTACATTTCAACCATGTTTTTATGCTTTTGATTAGAGAAACTATTTTAATTCATATAAATCATAACATTTGGAGCAAGCTGGTATCTTGGAAGACTTTATAAATCCCACTTAATATCTCCTGAATGTTATCTAATTTAATTTAATTCGGATATTATTGATAGTAAGTTTATGCTTCTAGTAAATCTGCAAATCCATGCCTTTTGATCAGACAAAGAAAAGGTATTTTGGATATAAAGCAGTCACCACTTAAACAGGACAAAATCAGAATAATTTGCTATGTTGTGATGTCAGAAGCTCCAACATTATACTGCAGCAGGATAGATGAACACGTGATTTCCTGTCCTCAAAGGATTGCAAGGAATGTTAATTACTTTTAATTTCCTTGTTTTATAAAATCTCATGGTATTCAGTCACTGTCTCAATACTCCCATCATGCACCTGAGCAAAAAAAAAAAAAGATTTGTACAGTATTTAATTTGACACTAGCAAATAACTAATTTTTAAATGAAGTCAGCTTCTTGATTTATGCAAGATACAAATTCTTAGTCTTCACTTTAATCTTTTTGATAACTTTTCTCTTACAGTATGGAAAGCCTTCATTCTGAGTTATGGGGAAAAAAGCTTATTGAATGTGCTAATATCTTAGACAGCCAATAGTGATGCTTACTTTTTTACTATTAAATAAAAATATTTAATTTTCTATGGGATTTCTGATGTGATGCATGGTCATAATTATGCTGTATGGGTAACTTTCAATTAGACTGAATGGTGGTATTATTTTTTTCAACCTGAAAGTCATTGATATTTTTAACCTTTTCTTTTTTACCAATATTGCCTAATTCAGTACAATAAAACTTCTAATTTGGAAGCATAAAGTTGTTAAGTTTGTATTTCTCTTACATCTTGGAAAACTTAAGTGTAGCCAATTATTCTTTCTTGCTTTTCTGCAGAAGCTCCCAAAGTATTGTATAAAGATCTAGGCAGTATCTGTACCTTTAGTATCTGTCCCCTTATCAGGTAGACCAGACAAGCAACATAACCAGATAAGCAAATTCGACTTTATTGTAAAGCTACATTAACAGAATCTTCCAAGTCTTGGCAATACTAAATTTATTTAAATGATAA